GCCAGTATTCCAACTCCCTGCTTATTACAGGAAAGGATTTATCTGATGGCCTAGTTTCAGCTCCAATTTTCTACCTTTTAATCAGGTTCCCAGGTCTCCTTGTCCACTCAAAAAGGAAAGGAAGAGGAAATCTCAGGGTGATGAAGCAGGAGTAATAGTCTATAAACATGCATGGGTCAGAAGGTTTTGCTGCCCCAAAACTTTCCTAGGAGGCAGATCCCAGGACAGGCAGAAGAATTATGCCCAGCCATGCAGTGTTTGTTTCTGGCATGGCAAGAGTGCATCTGTGCTTTCCCGCCTGACCAAGCCAGGGTTGTGTGAAACAAACGTGCTGGAAATAAAAACCTTCTGCAAAATGGAAAATGTACAGAGGAGCAGCTATTTTTAAAAGGGACAGCACCTACTGCTGTTATGAAGTCAGCCACATAATCAGTCAGCAAGGGACTTCTGTGGGCTGACAGCTGACTGCCAGGAGAAATGGTTCCAGCAGACTGATGAGAAGAAAATGAGAGTTTTTGGGTACTGAGAGGTGCATGTTCTCTAATAAAGAGAAGAATACGTGTCCTGTGCTGCCCTGGGCACAAGGCAGTTGGGGGGAAGTGACCCTCACTGTCCTTCCCCACGTGCTGGAAAGGAGGGATGAGATGCTGATAACTCTCCAGCAGACAGAACACCACACGCAAATGCAAGCTCACTCACTACTTCTTCCTCCCTTAGCCAGCCTAGCCTTATTGCTGAGCCTCTGCTGAGGTTTTCCTGCTTCTAAAAATGTTGAGCCTATAATTAAAACGCCCATCTTGCTTGCCAGGGCAAACATATCCGGCCACAGAGCTGAGCTGGTTGTGGAGACAGCCAAAGCTTGCAGCTAACCAGCCTGGTGGGCCTTCCTGGCATGGATGGCTTTCCTGGCATGGATGGCTTTCCTGGCATGGATGGCTTTCCTGGCACGGGTGGCTTTCCTGGCATGGGTGGCTGTTGATGCTGACACCAGGTCCATCACACACACAGGCTGACATGAAGCTTGAAGGAGGGCCTCCTCAACTCATCCAAGCCCTGATGTGCCCTTTTTCCTCTCTGGGGACATCAGTGCTGTTTCAGGTGTTTCTGCCCTGCTGGTGCAGAGGGGACATACTTGGGTGATGTGGGGGCTCATGTTTCTGGTAGAGGCTTGCCTGTTTTTTCCCATTCAGAGGATTTTGGAAAGGCTATTTAAATAACTAATAATCAAAACAATATTTTAATTAAAAATAATCGAAATAATTAAGTCATTAATAAATTAATAAATAAAAAGCAGTTGCAAAACAAGATGTTAAGACAAGGGGGCAAAGGAGTATTGGGAGGGCCAAGATCTAACACAGTGCTGGAGCATCATGTATGTGGGGCATTCACAAGGAGGTGGGAGGATACAGCTTCAGACCCTTGGGTCCCAAGATGTTGTCCTTCCTCAAGAGAGGAAGACATTTTCCACCTCTTTGACTGAGCCCACACCCCTGGACAGAAGTGATTCCACCCCAAAGGGGTGTGGTGGTGTAGCATCATGGTCATAACCTTGAGGCAGACACCAGAGGAGCAGTCATCTCTAATGGTTAATGGTGGTGGCTTTTCCCTTACAGTCCATAATAGTCCTATGAGCAAGATTTGGCCTTCCCTGGTGGCCACACCCCAGGCTATCATCTGACTGCCTTGTATGCCATCTGGGACGATGGGGCATTTTGGGGAAACAGGTAAAGAACCAACAGCCTCTTCCAGGCTGCCTGCAAGTCTGCCTGCCTGGGTGGAAGATACAGTTGTTCCTTCAGGCTTGGAAGGAACAGGAACATTGCAACTTCCTACAGGCAGTTTCCTCAGTGGGGCTCTGATTGCACCACTTTTATACACAGCACCCAGAAGCCTTTAAAATTAAATTTGCTACTTAAGAGCAGGAACACCGCTCTGGAGAAGCTGCAGTTTATTCTTTAGGTGCAAAGGCTCTGCATGGTCTTAGCCCCCTGTGCAGCAGCCCCAGCTCTGCAGAGGAGGGTGCTGAGACTGGATTACGTGTGTCTCACTGCCAGAAGCTCTGTGGTCAGGCAATGTTCAGCTTTCTGTGCTCTGGCATCACTTCTCCATCCCTTTACTCCCTTCTACCCCCACAGACCCATAGAATCTTTAGGGATGGAAAAGACCTTGAAGATCATCAAGTTCAAGCCTTAACCCAGCACTGCCAAGTCCACCCTTAAACAGTCTCCTTAAGCACCACATCTACATGTTCTTGAACGCTTCCATGGTCTTGTGTGTCTCCCCACATCACCCTGCCTGCTGCAAATCCAGCCTTTCAACACTAGCAGAGCATGTCCCGGATGGGTGAAATCCACAAAGAAATCTCTACCTGCTCCATGAGCTTTGGAGCAGGTCCTGGAGTAGGGAATTTGCACCACATGCTCTCTGCTGCTTCACAGCCATGTGTTCCTAATTTCCTTCAAGTCAACCAGAGAAGCTGTCAAGTCTTTCCATCACTGAAGAACACAGTGAGCCAAGCACTGTGGGACAAATCCTGCCCCTAATTTGGAGACGCAACACCCATGGGGGCAGCGGGGATCAGCAGAGAAGGAGAGAAGCCGTGTTGCACTTCAGATCCAGTGACAGCTGCCACCCGCTCAGCATTAAAGCAATAAATCTGGGGGATCTGGGTTTATTCTCCTCCAAATCACTTTATTATATTGTGAGTAATCACAAAGCCTTACAATGCTGCAGGTTCTTTAAAAAAAACAGACTAACACAGCGACAGTATTTGCCAGCTTTTGCTAAGACTAGTTTAGCTAGCAGCTAGCGTGAGATTACACAAAGAAATCTTGCAGTCTCCAATTGGATTGTCACATTGGGTTTTAAATTACCACAGTGCTGCAAAGACAGTAACTTTGACAGTAGGTGATAACTGTAATGTTTCATCTATGTACAGGCTTAAAAAAGTAAACAGCTTTCTTTAAAAAAAATACATTTTCTGCCAGCAGAAAATAATTCTCTTAAAAAGGCAAAATCCAGGAAAACCCCCACATCTTTACTCACAAACTGCCCCTGTCCTGCACTGCAGTTTGTTTCTGCTCCCCTCCAGATCTCTGCCCATAGGCAGCCCCATTGCCTTTTTAAGAAAATCAGCGTTTCCTGTGATTGTGAAGGCTGGTCAAACATCGCAAAGGCTCAGTAGAGGGGAAAAATCCCCAAAACTGAAGGAAGGGGTGAAAATCCCACTCTAAGCTACCCAAACAAATTATTGAAATTGAGATAGATGGAAATGTGGGAGTATTTCAGTACCAAATTTCAGTATCCAAAGTTAGGTGTTGACTCTGACTTTTACGGAGTCAGTGGGTTTGGGCAACAGGGTTTCCACTTTCCAAGACTTTTGGGGGTATGAGGACAAAACCTGAGCTTCTTCCAACACTCCCAAGGACAATTGTGAGATGAGTTTATATCTGCATCACATTTACATGGATCTCCCTAAATCAAACATTGAAAGTGGCCCTGATGCAGGGCTTAGAGACCAAACAGCAGATCAGCTTGAGCATGACCCCCATCCATAACATCCCATCCCCCTGGACAGAGCATGCCAGATGTGGACCAGACCTCAGCAGTCACCACCACTGCTCCTATAAGCAAATTGGAGGCTTCACACATGGCATTGAGTCATGTTGTGCTGCCTTCTCCCACTTACTCCTAGACTGGAGAAAAAGAGGGTCCAGAGGGGTTCCACAGCATTTCAGCAATGGAGAGAAAAAAAAAAACAGCAAAACATTGAGGACCAGGCTTTTTATCAGATTTCAGTTTATCAGATTCACTTGGCAACCAAGGAGCTGTGTGAGAGAAAGAAAAGCCACAACTCTGGAACAAACCCCAAAAGATCTTTCCTTCGATAAGCAAAGTGCTTCAGGGCCACAAGCATCAGTGTTAATTCTTCCCCTGGCATGTTCTCAGAAGTGTTTTGGCACTGGAAGTTGCCTCACATATGCCCAGATGAGCTGCAGATGTTGTGCTCAGATGGGGAATGTCAGCCTGGAAACAACTTACTCTCATATCCTCTAGGACTGCATCTTGGTTTGATAAGGTCATCAAGAAAGAATCCCTGTCAAAGTTTCTTTCCAAGCTTCCCCAGAAAGGGAGGAGGGATTCTTTTCAATTTTTTTTTCTTTCCTGAGTTAGGCTACATGATCTCTTCCCTTTGCAGCCTCCTTCACCAAAGGCTGGTTCCTGGGTGAGATGTGGCTGTTAGCAGACCCCTCTGCTTCCCTTCCTCTGCTGCACATCATCTCTGACCAATGGCTCACCGAGTTTAAAAAGAGGTTGCCAAAGCTGGACCTAAGTTAATTAGACATGAAAAGGATCAAGGTAGGAAAACAAGGAGAAATTGGTGGGAAAATGTCTCAGCTTACTCAATGTTTGTTGCACACCTATGCAAATAACATGTAAAACCCAGCATGTTAAGTGCACCCTGTATTCAGGTTTGTCTGGAAATGTTTCTTCAAGACTGAAAGTGCATGACAGAAAACAGGGTGCTGCTAATGAAGGCAACATCCAGAAGGCACATTTTGGGGAGTAACAATTAAAAGAAGGATGATGCATGGGTTTGTAAGCAAGCAGCTACAGAGCTGGTACATTTTGGTGTGTGCTCTGCAGAGGTGTAGCTTTGATCCTACAAACGTGTCTGAGGCATGAAGGGTTTGCTCCAGACTGAGTGTTCTGCCCTGGGACCTGCAGAGCAGCTTGTCCCCGCATGGTCCAGCATCACTGCTCCTGAGCCAACGGGAGGAGTGAGGACATCAATGCGCCGGCTAAAATCCAGAGCCTGCGGATAACGCAGACCGAGATTTGAGAGTTTATAAAATCCACAAACAATCAGCTATTGGCAAATACAAATATATAAATTATTGACAGTTTTACAAAAGGCACACTGCAAGCCATCTCAGTCCGACACCTGTACAAGTCCCACGGCTCCCCACCCTCCCTGTCCCACCCCTTCTTCTGCCCGGTTTTCATCACAAAACATAAGGTGCTGCTGCTACAGATCCATGGCTGTCATGGCAACTGAGGACTTCTTTTTTGGTCAGCCCAATTTGTCGGTGGTACTGTCCTTCTTTGATGGTCTTGAGACACTGTATGTCCTTCCCTAAGGTGATGCTTTTGATGGAAGGCAGGTATTTCAGCAAGGTCTTTGGCAAGGATGAGATGCCTGTCCCAGAGAGATTGAGCTCTTGTAGGGAGTTCAGACCAAAGATAACTTCAGCAGACAGTGACTTCAAGTTGGGATTGTTGGATAAATCCAGAACCTGGAGGGCTTGGAGCTCCTTGAAGCTCTGAGGAGATAACTCCCTAAAGCCATGCAGGCCACTGAGGGATAAATGAATCAAGTCTTTCAGCCCCGTGAAATCTCCTTTCTCAACCTTAACCAGAGGGTTTCCATCAAGATTTAAATATCGGAGAGGAATGCCTTGAAGGTTTGGTACAAATGTTAACCTGTTTCCAGAAAGATTTAAGTTCTGTATGTTGGGAATGCTCTTTTCATGGTGTCTTGTAATTGTGCTGAGCATATTATTGGACAGATCCACATTCAGGGATTTGCCTTGTCCTTTTGAAGCAAAAATGTCTATAGCTATATCCAAAAGTTTGTTATTGCTCAAATCTATGTCACTTAGAGGAGAACTGGAGAAACAGTCCTCCGGAAGGACTTCCAGAGAGTTATGACTCAGATCCAAGGACTCCAGGTACCGAAGCCTGGAGAATGTCGTGGAAGAAATCTTGGCAATTTTGTTGTAGCTCAGGTCTAGACTCACCAGGGTGGTGTATCCAGGGCCAGTAAGCATCGATTCATTTATTGTTTCCAGTTTGTTTGATGATAGATCCAAGTAGGAGGTGTCCAGAGGAATTGGGACAGGAACAATATGTGAGCCTATTCCACTGCAGTCCACCTTGGTCAAGCTAAAGCTGTCAAAGAGACCAAAGGTTTCCACTTCACAGTGGCAGCCAGGGAAGCAGGTTTTTGTGGTACCAAAGCAAGGAAGGAGAAGCAGCAAATTGAACCAGGTCAGGAAATGCATTGTTCTCCTGGAAAACAAGACAATAGAAAAGCAGATCTAATTGCTGTAGAAATTACTTTATGAATCATGTGTAACTGTTTGACTTATGCAGTTTTGTCCTTTCTCTTTACAAAAGGAGAGATTAAGCATACCCTTAAATAGCATGGATATCCCAAAGACTTTTTCTCTCATGTTATGAATCCCAGTGGGAAATTAATGGAGAAAAAACATTGGGTCAGCAGTCTTTACACACATAACCAAACTGAGGTGAAATTGGAAATGAGCTGTAAGAACAATAGGCTGCCTTAAAGCATGATCTATCAAACATATAAACTTTTGACTGGACCATGGAAGAAAAGACCAGCTCCTTACTGCACAAATGGACATCCCATCTCCCTTCCTTGGACTTCAGATGCAGATTTTAGAAGTTTGGATTTGTATCAGGTGGCTAAAAACAATCCTCCTTGGCCTGGTGGCAGCTCCTACCAGAGCAGAGGAACCGAGGCTTATTCAGTCTAACCCAGCCTTTGCTGTGGTGGGCCCAGCCCCATGCACAGTGGAGACAATTTGCTTCATATGGAGTCTTTGGGGAGCCTCTGCTAATTGCATTAAGTGTTCTCTCTGATTAACTAATTGCCAGTAAGCAAGGAGTTCTCTCCACTGCTTTGGTTTTGACCCGTCTCCCTCCAAGACAGTTCTGTCTCTCCATCATCTCACACAAGGAAGGCAGATCAGAGCTGAGCTGCACGCTCCAGCTCTGCTGAACCTCTTCAGATGGCATCCTAACAACTCGCCCACACAACAGTGGGCAACAACAGCTGCATGATTTCAAGAGACAGCCAAAACAATTTTTAGATCTGGAGAGGGTACATAGGAGCATGTCAGCATCCTGCAGGTCAGCACAGAGGCAACAAGGTCTGTCCTCGCTGGTTCCTATTGCAGTCATGGGTGATGACTCTTCATGCCTTACAAACGAGGTCTCCAGAAGGCCAGAAACAAAAAATCTCACCAAACCAGACAAGCAGATCCATCAGCACTGGTCCTTGGCTATGCTGCTGGCCATAAACAAACACTCACATGCCAACTGCTCATTTAATAAGAAAAAAGTTAAAGAAATCCCTTTAAATGAATGTTCCCATCTCCACTTCAGCGTCCCTGGTCTCTTACCTTTCCCACCACTGTTTTAAAGCAGTTCATTAACTTCCTTGCAGTATTGAGTTTCACACACACCCTTTGATCTGGCTGAGATTCCTTCCTCACAGCCCTTGCACCTTCCCAAGACCATTTCCTAGAAATTCACACTTCATCTCCCCTCACCCACCTCTTGAATTCAGTTTCTCTCCCTTTTCAGCATTGTCTTCTTGGCCCTGCTCTCATTCCCAGAAGACTGACTGGGGACTACGTGCCAATGTGCAAAAAAAGTGCAAGGGGGAAAAATGTTGCAAAAATACTGTCCTGATCACTGATGTGAGTTGTATGGCAGTGTCTCCCAGATCTCCTGCAAATAGAGAGCAGAAACTGGGACTCTGGCCAAGTTGCCTGCAACTAAACCATTGCTAAAGGCCCCTTTGGGGTCCATTATTCTATAAAAAAACCAGAAAATTGGTAAGATGAGCCCTAGCCTCAGCCCATCTCAACTGTTTCTTGAGAAAACACATATGTGTGCAGAGAGAACATAGAGGGGTAGGGCTCTTCTCTGCAGACACTTTTCCAGATATCCCTTTCCTAATGACATCAAGGCTGATCCCCTCTGGTTCTGTGCAGACAGACATTGTTGCCTTCTGCAGTCCCTCCTAAAATAAATACTACTATTTTTATTTTTTCATGAAGCTGCATTTGGATTGCACTGAAATGTTTTATTACCAGGGGAGGTTACAGCAGTGGGGAGTTCCTTATAAACTAAAACTGCAAAACCTCAAATGTTAAATATCTCACCTACAGGGAAGTACCTACGTTGGTATCAGCCCAGTCTGCTGGCATTTCTTCTCCCAAATTCTGCCCAGTGGCTATTCCTACTTGATGTCCCTGTATGGAAAGGACTTCCAACTTCTCCTTCAAAAGTGCAGCTCGTTTCCTCATAGAATTGTTTTAGCTCTGTTGGGAGCTGAATCATACACCCGGAAGTCCAAAGACACACCAGTATGAAATTTTACTTTCTGAGCACTGCTAAAACCTTCATTGGCTTCTTATGGAGTATCTGACCTAATTTAACTGGGAATAGACTTTTAATAGGACCTGTAGTGGCAGTACAAGGGGCAATGGTTTTAAATTAGAACAAGAATAATTCAGACTCGATCTAAGGAAGTAGTTTTCTGTGATGAAGGTGGTAAAACACTGGAACAGGTTGCCCAGAGAGGTGGTAGATGCCCCATCCCTGAAAACATTCAAGTCCAGGTTGGATGGGGCTCTGAGCAATCTGGACTACTTGAAGATGTTCCTGATTATTGTGGGGAGTTGGACTGGGTGGCCTTCAAAGGGTCTGTTCCAATCCAAGCTATTCTCTGATTCTGTGAATTGAGAGAAGATTGAAAACTGATGCTGGGCTTTGATATGCACCTGCTCAAACCCTTTTGACATGGGAATTCCCCTCCTGATCAGCCTCAAAAATGATTGCCAGAAGTGGGCAGATACAGTGACTCTCACTGCAACATCCATCACTTCAGCCAGCAGTAAAGACAAAACATGACACAGCTGAAATGTAGTACACAAAGCTCAGCTGAAGCATTTGCATAGCATCTATTGCCTCTTCCCTCCTCACAGCACTGCCACAAATTCTCCCTTACTGGCTCTGCAATTGCTTTGCAGATGGGATACAATCCATTAGTACCAGTTGGAAACTCCCCTATGGAGCAGCATGGAGCATCACAGGCAAACATGCCACTTGGTTAATAGCTCTGATAAAATATAGGAGAAATAAAGTCATCTTCCAGTCCAAGAAAGAGACTCCTGCATTGCCAGATAATTGGCAAAGAGCTTAGTCAGGTACAGGCATGTTTTATTATACTGTGGAACAACCGATAGCTCTCTTTGAAATGGGGAAAGGAACAGACTGCAGGCATTTACAGTTCTGTGTACAGTGTATATTTGAAACTGCACCAAAATGCCTCTGGATTGCTGCCCACAAGCTGCTTTGTTGATAAAGGCAGGAAGCCAAGGTATCCCCTTGTAAAAGGAAGAGGAGTTATCCTCTTGCAACACTGGGGAGTTTCACCTAGGTAAACACCATGGACAAGAAACCACTGGCACCATCACCTAGGACAGTGAGGGGAAAGTCACTGGGAGAAAGCAGCCCACCCAGGGGCTGGTTTAGCCATGTCCTCTTCATCTCTATGGCTACTGAGGTACGAAGAGATCCCGGTGATAGGTTTTGGGCATCTGGAAGCTCTAGGGGTCTTTTTATACCTGCTGATTGCGACATGAGCTGCTGGGGGGGCAATATCTTCCCCCATGTTTCAGGTGCCTGTAGTGACTGCAGGGCTCTGGTCTTTATATCTTGCTCATCCTTTCTGCAGGGCAAATATTCTGAGACAACCATAAGGAGAGCCTGAGGTGGTTAATGGAGCCAGTGTTGGACCAAGCTTCTAGCAGGACGGCAGCCTTCTCCTCAGATCCCACATCTCCCCTTTAGCCTGCGGATGCCCTTGTGCCTTCTCCCTGCTATGCTCAATCATTGCAACGCCGTGTGGCAAGACTCACACAGAAAACCCACACTGAGATTTCCCAGCCAAAAAGCTGCCAACATTAAAAGCAGATTGCAGAGGGATGCCAGGCTCAGATGATGGTCAGGGAGTGAGGTGGGAGGGAGGAAAGCTTTGTTACTGTGTTGTTGCAAATTCACGCTTCTACTGCATTTGATTTCTTCCTTCTCTTCTCCCTTAAAGTCTTTTCTCATTAGGGAGATCAGCTGACACATCCCTCCCTGGATGAAAGCCCATTGCTTGGGGACTGGCCCCCTCTTCGGGAATGCGGATATTAAGAGGATGCTACCTAGGCTACCTCCAGTTGCCCTGGCAACCACCAAGCTGGAATTCCCCATAGCAAAAAATCAATGACTAATTAAAGAAATAATACAAGGGGAGGTGTTTTAGAGTTTGCTGTTTGATGGAGTCAGGAAACAGCTGCCCCATTCTTCATTCCCTCAGCCTCCCTGAACAAAGCATCCTCTGAAATGCAGCTGGGGTTGGGGCTAAAGGCCCAAATTCACCCAATGAAGCTTGAACTATATGGGTAAGAAGTGCAAAAAAAACCCCCAAAACACCAGGCGTCTCTACGGTGGGGTGAAGAGAATGAAATTGCTCCAGAAGGGGATGAAACCAACCTAAGACCATACACATCCCTGGAGATGTCACTCTCCCCCTTGTCCATGACAGAGTAGAAGGATGCCCAGTCTCCCTGGTTACTGCTTCCCACCCCATTCTTGGCTGCATCTTCCAAACCCTAGTCCTTCCCAATACCCAGGTGCACTTGGATAAACCAGTTTGGGTCACTGATCCAACAAAAACCCCTCTGATCTTTCTCTTTCCCCTTTGCTGGGTCAGTTTTCCAACAAATTCTGGTCACCATCCATAGAGATACCAGCTCTCACACAGGAGTGGAGAACACAGCATCTGTCTTTTCCATAGCAGCCCACAACCAGACCAGATCAGATATGAATCTGTAAGGCATGGCGGATAGATCCTGGTAATTTCTACATTTTTTGCCAATATTAATTCTGGATGAGCAGCAAATAGACCAAATTTCAAAGAAAAAAGGCAAAAAGGAAGAGCTGAAGTCCACCTGTCCCAAATAGAGTTGCTGCCCTAGCAAAGGACAAAAGAGTTGTATTAGCAACAATATTTCTGGAGAAAAATTTTAGGATTGTCTTCTGCCTCTTGTATCAGCCAAGTAAAGAAATAAACAAAGTCTTCACAGCAAAGCTCACCAGGCCCACTTGGCTGCCAGCGCTAATTGGGGTCAGGGAAAAAGGAATGTTATTGGAAAGTGAAACAAGTGCATAGGTTATGATAGAGGCCATAAATCCTCCAGACTGAGGG